ACGGGCAGAGGCATGAGGTGAGTCGAAGCGTCGAGCCCAAAGCGGCGGCTAGGCAGCCAACATGGCGGCGGCGGCGGCGGGCCCGGAGATGGTCCGCGGGCAGGTGTTCGACGTGGGGCCGCGCTACACCAACCTCTCGTACATCGGAGAGGGCGCCTACGGCATGGTTTGGTGAGTGTCTGCGCTGGTGTGCAAGCCCGGCCTCACCCGCTCACCTCATGCCTCTGCCCGTGGCTCTGGGCGCAGCCGCGGCCCTTCCCGCGCCTTGACCTCGCGTTCTGCGGCGCCCTGGACCCCTGACTTCTCTTTGGCCCACACTCACGAAGCCAGTCGAGGCTTAGGTGGTGGTGTGTGCTTCCTGGGCTGACCCCCGTTTGCGGTTGGAGGGGCACCCCCAGAATGAAGCCAGGACCCGAGGACTTGCTCTCAGGCTCGTACTTTAGTGTCTTTTCCCTCGGGACAGGAACGGAAGTGCACCGTGTCCCCTAATTTATAGCTTTATAGTCGTCTTCTTTTGACATTAGATTGTAAAACCATGAATTCCATCACATACTTGTCCGTGGTGGTGGAGGCGGCCGTGGTTCTGCAAGCCAGAATCCTCAGTGTGTGCTGAACACCAAAATATTTTTCTTCTCTTCTTTTTGTATACATGAACAGCTTTCACAAAATTTCTTCAGTGAAGCTAATGATGCGTTCCAACTCAGACTTTCTAAAAAACATTAACGACACCAGCGTTGGTTGTGAGGATATTTAAATCTTGAAGAGTTTCGAAATGGCTTTAAATATCGTAGCGGTTGCGTTTCAGGAAAGATAAACCAGCATCACTCTTAGAGTTATTAAGATGTATCTGGAATTGGGCCCAATTTGATTTTAAATTACTCCTTCCTTACCATCAAGAGCGCTTTCTTAAAGCTGTAAATATCCATACGTTTTAGCCCAGTTTACTGTGGCCGTTTTCTCCTTCACATTTTAGTGTTCGGTATATATACAGCCCAGATAGTTCTTTTGCGTGGTCACTTGCAGGATTTCTCACCATATTGTGAAATGATGAAGTGTATTGTTTTTATTAAAACGGGCTGCTTGTGTTTTGTACGTTGAAAACTCGGAGAAGTAGATTTTCTTTTAAATTTGTTTTTTGTGCTACATGAAGTAAGCAAATTTATTGAAGATCTCTGAGTTAGATATTCTGCTATCCTCATAGTTAATTTTACCTGAATAGCCATTTTGAGGAAAGAAAAGATACCTTTCTTGTCCAGATAAGGTATTGTAAGAAGTCCTTTCCCAAGGGTGCAGAACTAGAATCAGGCTTTGGTTATAGACAGATCCTGTTTCAAATGCTGCAGCTCTTCAGTTATTACACACGCCTTTCCTTGATGTTATTAATAATCTTGGGACTTTAGCGTATTTTCCTGATGAGCAAGTCTATTTTCAGAAGTACATTCAAATTTGAATGGTCGTCATTTTAGAAATGCTAGGAAAGATGTATTTCTTTACCAAGTGTCTTAACTAAATAGAATAATCAATGTTCTTTTAAAAAAGACTCATGAATAATTTTATTTTCTTTGTGAACAAAATATTTCGTAGTGTGCAACTATGAAGATAAAAGAGAACTAGTCCTGGGAGTCAAAATAGAAATTAAATTAGTCACAATTAAAGACCTTTTTAAAGAAATAGAGAAAAAGCACTTTCTACATCACATCTGTCTTACACCTATTGTTACTGCTCTTGCACCTGCAGGTAAACATCCCAGTAACTCTCTATTATAGGTACTCAAGATTATCTGTCATAGTCTCATTTATTTTAAAAATTAGCTTATTTTAAATAGGGACGATAAATTTAGGCTGTCAGTTGGACTCCTTTCCTCCACGTGTCTGATAAAAACAGATTGTTTAGATCCTGGTGCTATTGCTGCTGTGGAGTTAATTGACCTTTGAAGTTCCCAGCTGCTGTGCAAAGTTCTCTTTAAAATTCAAATTTTAGAGGCTGGAGAGAGGATTCTGCACTTGCTGCTCTGGGTTCAATTCCCAGCACCCACATGGGCAGCTCACAACTGTCTGTAACTCCAGTTACAGAGAGGGGATCAGATTTAGACATGCATTTGAGCAAAACACCCGTATGCATGAAGTAAATTTAAAGATACAAATTTTAGTTTTAAGAAAATTGAAGATATAATTGAAATTTAAATTCTGGGTCCATCCTTTTATCTCCAGGTTGAAAACATTTTAGTATTTATAGAATATTCTTAATTAAAGGTAATTAGCATTTTATCTATGCTGGACTTATGAAGGGCATCTTGACTTAAATGTTTTCTTGAATAGTTTTGATCTTTAAAAAGCTGGAGAGATGACTTAGTGGTTAAGAGCTCTTTTAGATCCCAGCATCTTCATTAGGTGACCCTCTGGCTTCCAAGGGCATCTGCACACGTGTGCATAGAAAACTCATTGGGTACACATACATCCTAAAAAATAATTTTAAAAATGGTTAAAAATGGGGGCTGGAGAGATGGCTTAGTGGTTAAGAGCATTGCCTGCTCTTCCAAAGGTCCTGAGTTCAATTCCCAGCAACCATATGGTGGCTCACAACCATCTGTAGTGAGAGCTGGTGTCCTCTCTGGCCTGCAGGCACACATGTAGACAGATATTGTATGCATAATAAATGAATAAATATTTTAAAAATAAATGGTTAAAAATTATTTCAGGTATTTTCAGCTATTATTTAGCAGGGTTTTCCCTAAAGCAGTTCACTGGAAATTGTGCCTATTTTATTTAGGTTCTCTTTCCTAACTATTATGTGAAGACTAAAAGATAAGATTGGGTGGTGGGTGCTCAGCAGCTAATAGTTCCTACTAGAATTCAGTTCCTAACAGCCAGTAACTCCAGCTCCAAGTAATAAAATGCCTCTGAACTCTTGTGGGTACCTGTGTGTGTGCACAAATAAGCATGCATATGGAATATACATAATTTAAAATGTTTATTAAAAGAAAGTAAGACTGGGTTTTGAGTTGGGCATTTAAGAGTGGGTGTGATTTTGATAGTCAGATAATAGGGACAAGTAACAACGTGAGCTGTTGAATCTAATCTTAGAAAAGTCTTTGGGTGAAAACTGTAGAGGACTCCATAACAGCAAAAGTAAATGGTTTTATTCGTTGAATGGGAAAGAAAGAATTTTTTTTTTTTACAGTCAGTCATGATCAAATTTTAATTTTGGTGGTGATAGAGAAATGAGTCCATTGTAGCCATCTCTAGGTGCAGTAATTAAGTGTCAGTGGAGATGAGGAATCTTGAGCCGACAGAATCAGTCAGGAGCTCTTGCGGAAGTGATTAGACTTAACGAAGCCAAGCAGTGATGGTGCACGCCTTTGATCCCAGCACTTGGGAGGCAGAAGCAGGCAGATCTCTTGAGTTTGAGGCCAACCTGGTCTACAAAGGCAAGTTCCAGGACTGGCTCCAAAGCTACAGAGAAACCCTGTCACTAAAAAACAAGAGAGAGTGAGAGACTGAGACCTAACAAAGGGAGGACAGAAGAAAAACAGTTAAAAGGTAAGAATCTGAGAAAGATGGACTTAGGTTTGAAGATTGCTTAGCTAACGTGAGACAAGGTTTAGTATTGGGGCCCTAATCCAAGAGAGGGTACTGTAGACACAACGGGTTTATCAGGAAGAAATAGTGATTTCTGTGTCTGCTTATTAAGTTTGTAGACCATTCAAGGCTATACAGAAAGCAGCTTGAAGTTTATAACACAAGAGCAGGATCTAATGATGCAACTTTTTATACAGAGACTGGAGAGATGGCTCAGCATTAAGAGCATTTGTTATTCTTTTATTCTTTTTTTCAAGACAGGGTTTCTCTGTAGCTTTGGAGCCTGTCTTGGAACTAGCTCTTGTAGACCAGATTGGCCTCAAACTCACAAAGGTCCACCTGCCTCTGCCTCCCGAGTGCTGAGATTAAAGATGTGTGCTACCACCCATTTTTGTTTGTTTATTTGGTGGTGCATTTGTTATTCTTACGGATGGGCTTGGATTCAATTCCCAGAACCTACTTGGTGGCCCACAACTGCCCTTCAGTTCTAGGGGATTTGACCATCTCTTCTGGCTACACAGGTACCAGGCATGCACATGATGCACAAACAGACAAGCAGGCAAAATACACAGAAAAAAAATCTTTTTAAAAAGAAAACTTTATATACAGTATAGTTAAAATTTTGAGTGGAGGAGCATAAGTTATTATTTGAGGAATTGGTTTCTTGACGTAAGCATGCATGTTCAACATGTTTTTTAGTATATTATTCAGTGGATTTTCAGAGGGTTTCATGGTCCCCAGTATGAGTAAGAACTACTGAAGTAGAAGAGGAGGAATAAAAGCATCACTGCAAAAAAGAGAAACCTGAGAACTGGTGAGCTGCATAGAAGAGTGGCAGAGATGAGAAGGAAGAAATGGAAGCTGTGAACTTGATTGTCTACTAAGATGACTGAGTTCAATTTTTTTAAAAAAAAAATTCAGTTTATATGGGTATGTGGGTGTGTCTCCTTGGAGGCCAAAAGAGGGAGTAAGAAGGCGTTGTGAGCCACCTGATGTGGGTGCTGAAAACTGAACTGGAGTTCTTTGCAAGAAAAGCTAGCGCTCTTAAACCCTGAGCTGCCTCACCATCCCTGGATAATTTTAATTTTGAAGTATTGTTTCTGTGTGTGACAGAGGGGCTGGGGGATTCTTAATTTAAGGTCAGGCTAATGGAAGTGGTGAGAAATGAGACGGGAATATCTACCTCTAGGTATCAATGAAAGAAAGTCACACAAAGAGGACAGGAACTGTGATGAAAGGGGCCAGGTTTGATATTGTTAAAGGAACCCAAGGAAGGACATAGTAGTCATTAAAGAGTTAACTCCAGGGAACAAAAGAACCCAGCTGTAAGTCAGGTGGTGGCGCACTCCTTCAACCCCAGCACTCAGGAGGCAGAGGCAGGCGGACCTCTGGAGTTCACGGCCAGCCTGGTCTACAAGACCTAGTTCTAGGACGGGCTCCAAAGCTACAGAGAAACCCTGTCTTGAAAAAAAAAAAAAAGAAGAAGAATGCAGCTGAAGACAAGCTATCAAAATTTCCACTCTTTTGGGGGGGTTGTGTTTGTTTATTTTTTGGGTTTTTTGAGACAGGGTTTCTCTAGTTTTGGAGCCTGTC